GAAGCTTCTCAGGTTGATTCCCGTAGGATTTGGGAAAATGCCCGATCACAGAGGACACGGAACAAGACTTGTTGGATTGATGAAGAGGGAAAGAAGACTTTTCATTCCGCAGACGAGGCTTCAGGCGGAGATCCTGAAGGTTATGAAGACTTTTCTGAGCGAGGTTTGCTATTCATCTTTTCCTTCCATCTTCTAGAAACATTGAAACTGACTATGGTTTGATGTTTCAGGGACCACTGTTGACCAGGATGAAGAGTTCCGTCCCCCTCCCCAGGCGAGACCTTCGATTATTGTCCCTGCTGCTAGGCGGAAGAGATTAGCCCGCAAGCCGCGTGCAGCTTCCCGAGCATCTGATATGTACTTGGCTGGTGATGATCCTGCTAGTGACGGAGGTAACATCTACCTTGTAAACCATCTTCTTGATTATTCGGGACATTGACTCATGCTTTTCCATCTATATAGGAGAGCGTGGAGAGAGCGAAATGAGTCCCGATTCCGTTCCTGTGTCTCCTGGTGAGCCTGACCCGCTGCCCCAGTTTAAAAGGCCTACAGGGGTTGCCGACATTAGGGAGGATAGCAATGTAGGACCTGATTCCGCAGATTCAGGTACATCTACTATTGACAATGTATCTTTTAGATGGTATACAAAAGAATTTGTGCATCCTCTAATCATCTCTGTACATCTTGCTTCTTCAGATAACTTGCAGGAGGCATACGTGGATTTTGGGAATAAAGAGGCTAACACATCCATGAGGGGTAACTCATTTCTGTTGGTTGTAGTCTCTTTATTCTTCTTTGGTACTTATATTCTTTTACATCAGATTTCTCCATTGATGATTTTGACGAGGAAGGCTTGATAGCGGGCACTCCTACACTCCACTTCATGTATAGCTCTACTCAGTTTGATGGCCAGCTACCTGGAGACATATTTTTCGAGCCCACGTTCGATAAGAATCTCGAGGATGATTCTTTCGAAGGTATATGCCTCCTACCAAATTAATTATAGGACTAGCCAATTTTGACTAATGCAGCTATAATGTGATGCCTCTGAGAATTTTGACTTGTATTTAACAGGAGTTTTTATTGAGAATGACCCCGTTGAGCCGGCTATGGAACCAACTACACCAGTTGATACACCCCCAGCCGTTACACCTCCATCACCCCCAGTGACTCAAGAGGGTATGAATACTATTTATTTACTCTTCAAGGTCTTTTTCTGACGGTTTTATCTTTATCTTTCTTTTTATCGTGCAGGGCCTTCTTCTCGTCTTCATATTCTGGCGAGGGAGTTGTTATCTGATGATGATCCTGAGAAGATTGTCATCTGTATAGAAGTCCGCTCCTTCTTCTCTTTCATGAATGCTATGATTGGCAAGCTTTTCCATGGTGGACTTTCTCTTCGCCAATTCAAGCCTTTCCTTGATTCTAAAGTCAATTTGATAAGGGAAGCGGGACATCCAGATTTGGCACAGGCTATAGTTGATGACCTTGATTGCCTAGAGCATGAGCTTCAGACGTTTCGTGAGCTCCGAGATGCAGGTGCCTCCTTATTTATTGTTGCCGAGCTGGACACCCGCTTACAGTCATCACGCGAGACTCAGGTTCTTGTTGAGCTCGAGATTCAGATGCAGCGGGGCCGAGTAGATCGAGTTAAGACGAGTCTTGCTACTAAATTATCTTCGCTTGCTGAGCTCGATCTTTCTATTACCTCCTGTGCGACCGAGATAGACCAGCTCAGAAGAACACTCCGTGAAAAAGAGGAGACTTTGGATATTCTTCAGATGACGAAAGCACAGGACCAGCAAACCCGCACGGCTTTATCTGACGAGTTGAGATCCCTGGAGCAGAAGCTAACCGAGACAGAAGAGATTGCTGCGAGGACTTCAGCCACCACCGAGGAGTCTATCAGGGCTGAACTTAGACAAGCTTATGATGAGAAGCTTTCTAAGATCAGTCAGCAGATTTTTGGTCCGCATGTAACGTTATGCTCGGAGATTTAATTCTCCGAGACTTTGTGCTATGATGTCGAATACATAGACTTCGCCATTGTTACGGGAATAGGCTACCCGGCGACACGTGTTAGGTGTTGACTTTAGGATTTTTGGCTAACCCCCAGCCTTCAACGGATTTGATTAGCCTTTACCGACTACCGTTTGAGTCGGGCTAGCATGCGGATTGTTTAAATCCGTTCGCATGTAACGTTATGCTCGGAGATTGAATTCTCCGAGACTTTGTGCTATGATGTCGAATACATAGACTTCGCCATTGTTACGGGAATAGGCTACCCGACGACACGTGTTAGGTGTTGACTTCAGGATTTTTGGCTAACCCCCAGCCTTCAACGGATTTGATTAGCCTTTACCGACTACCGTTTGAGTCGGGCTAGCATGCGGATTGTCTAAATCCGTTCCGCATGTAACGTTGTGCTAAAGGAATGAAATCCCTTAGACTTGATGCTACGACTTAGAATACGTAGACTTCGCCATTGTTATGGGAATAGGCTACCCAGCAACGCGTATTAGACGCTGACTTATCCCTACTTAGGCTTCGGGATAAAATACCCCAGACTGGTATTCTGGTGTCTTTTTCTATGCTAAAGGAATGAAATCCCTTAGACTTGATGCTACGACTTAGAATACGTAGACTTCGCCATTGTTATGGGAATAGGCTACCCAGCAACGTGTTTTAGACGCTGACTTATCCCTACTTAGGCTTCGGGATAAAAGGCCCCAGAATCGAACTCTGGTGTCTTTTTCTTCAGAGAAAGACTAAACCGGCAGCGCGTGTTAGGCGCAGACTTATCCCTGCTTAGGATTCGGGATAAACTTCCTAGGATGAATCCTAAATTGATAAATTTCGGAAAAGATCGATGCGGGAAAGGAAGAATTTTATATTCTATTTAATTAATAACACCCTGCCACAATGTTGAATATGTGAACGGGTGTTCTTTTTAACGGTTAAGAACTAACCGGCAGCGCGTGTTAGGTGCAGACTTATCCTTACTTAGGTTTTAGGATAGAATACCCCAGAATCGAACTCTGGTGTCTTTTTCTACGGAAAAAGACTAAACCGGCAGCGCGTGTTAGGCGCAGACTTATCCCTGCTTAGGATTCGGGATAAACTTCCTAGGATGAATCCTAAATTGACAAATTTTGGAAAGAGCGGTGCGGGAAAGGAAGAATTTTATATTCTATTTCCCGGTCTTCTTTTAGGGTGAAGGCAAACCCGAAAAACAAGGAAGGAAGAATTTTATATTCTATTCCTTGATTCTGGAAAGGAAGAATTTTATATTCTATTTCCAGCGAAGAAGAAACTAGAAGTGGGGTGTCCACTCCGAGAATCTGGAAAATTTAGATAAACTTGCCTTTTATAGGATGGGTTATCTAAACTGAAAATGGGTTCTTCGTTTATCGAAGTGGAATTTCAACTTTGGCTATAACCATGGGAAGGCTTGACCAAAGAGAAAGAGAAGGGAGTTCTTTCGTTTATCGAAAGGGGACTCCGAAATGAAAATGGACCTCTTGTCTATGGAAAGAGTCAAGAGGGCCAGATGGATACTTTTGGTGGACTCACTGTCAATTGAAACTGATCAGTGAGGGATTTTGGTGGTGACAATGATTTTGGGTTATCCTCTAGAATATTAAGTGTAATATTCTTCAAGGAACTTCCCGGTAAACGAGTTATCCTGAATGTACTAGGGATAGTACTTTTTCAGGAACTTCCCATTTATTGGCATTAATTGCCTGGCGCCCTCTTGAGTAATCAGGCGATATGCGCCGTTTGAATAGACTGTGTCTATTACAAACGGTCCTTCCCATTTGGGTTCGAATTTACCTTTCTTCTTGGAGGTGAGAATTATTGGTCGGCGAGCAGCGAGGACCAGATCTCCTTCCTTGAAGCTTCTCTGTCGGACTCTTTTGTTAAAAGCCCTTGACATCCTGGCTTGGTAAAACTCGATGTGTTGTTGAGCCTCCAAACGCTTTTCATCCAGCCTCTCGAGCTCTTCGAGACGCTTCTGATGTTGTTCCTCCGTCGTCATCTCCGTTGCGAGGGCGATCCGAAGGGACGGAATCTGAATTTCCAGCGGTAGCACAGCTTCACATCCGTATACCAGCGAATACGGGGTAGCTCCCGTAGGCGTGCGTATGGTGGTGCGATAAGCCCAGAGTGCTTCACCGAGTTTATCGTCCCAGTCTCGTTTATTGGTCTTCACGAGCTTGGACAGGATCTTAATGATCGTCTTGTTAAACGCTTCAGCTAATCCGTTCGCAGCGGGATAGTAAGCTGTCGACGAAACATCTTCGATTTTGAACTTGTCGCAGAATCTGACGAAGGCATTGCTTATGAACTGTGGACCGTTGTCATGAATGATCCTTCTTGGCACGCCGTGTCGGTAAATGACATGATGCTTGATGAAATTGATGACGTTGTTCGTCTTCACTTCTCTAAGCGGAATCGCTTCAGCCCACTTTGAGAAATAATCTGTGATCGCGAGGATGAACCGATCACCTTTGACTGAAGGGGGAAAAATAGGACCGACTATGTCCATGCCCCAAGTCTCGAACGGCCAAGACGTGGTTGACGTGTGCAACTGCTCTGGCGGTTGATGCATATAATTCGCATGTATCTGGCAAGCGTGGCATTCTCGTGCGTATTCGATTGCGTCACGAACCATCGTTGGCCAGAAATATCCCATCCTCCTGATGCGATCATACAGTTTAGGACCGGGCTGATGCGCACCACATTCTCCTTCGTGTGCTTCCTTAAGAACTTCCTTTGCTTCTCTGTTCGAAAGGCATCGGAGTAAAAGACCGTCGTACCCTCTACGGTATAATGTATGGGTTTCAGTATTATAGAAGAATCTTGGAGCTCTTCGGCGGATTGATTCCTTTTCTTTTACATCCTCTGGCAAGATACCATATTGGACGTAGTCGATGATAGGAAAACGCCAATCTCGGGACTCAGACCCAATTTGAGTTGAATTCACCTCTTTGGCGTTCACGTTTCTATCCTCTTCTTCTTCAATCTCCGTACTGTATATGGGTACGCAGAGTTGATGCGTCCGTACTGTGACTAACAGCTCAGCTTCGGGAGGCTGTGCCAGTGATACTGCTAGTGCCGCCAGTGCGTCTGCATAAGCGTTCTGGAGACGAGGGATGTATTCAATAAAGAATTCTTCGAAAGATTCTGCCATTTTGATGGCTTCCTGGTGGTACGGGATCAGGTCTTGATTCCTGACTTCATACTCACCGCGAACTTGGTTGACTATCAATTGCGAATCTCCAAAAGCTTCGAGATATTCGACCCCCAGCTCTTTGGCGAAACTGAGTCCAATGAGAAGCGCGTTGTATTCGGCAACATTATTGGAGCACGGACTAGTCAACGAATAAGCCCGAGGCATCACGTGCTTTCCAGGGGAGATTAAGACGACTCCAACTCCAGAGGAAACTGTAGGACATCCCGGGGTTATTACTCTATTAACTGCCCTTGAGGCACCATCGAAGTATAATTGCCATACTTGTTGGTGTGATGTGGTGTTAACCTCGTGGGTTTCATCCGGCAAGTCATCATATACTTCTGCCGTATCTGTGGTCGGGTTTGCCGCCAAAAGGTCACAAATCGCCTGTCCTTTTATCGACTTCTGCTGCTTGAAGTGCAAATCGTATTGGGACAAGAGAAGGGCCCACTTCGCTAGACGCCAATTCATAGAGGCCGGTTGCGTCATAAACACCCGTACTGGATTAAC